TCACCTACCACTGTCTGGACAAACAGAGGTGGCCCCTAGCTCCAACCTTTGCTAGGGCTTCAAAGGCACCCAGCCTTCAGGGGGTTCTCTCCCTATGTTTATCAAATAGTGAAGACAATAAACTGTTTCCCACACCATGCACCACAATGTTGCCAGTTCGATTCCTGGTCAGGGCACATGCCCTGGTTGTGGGCTTGATCCTCAGTAGGGGGCTGCAGGAGGCAGCCAACTGATGTTCCTGTTTCTCTCTCCCTCTCTCTCTTTCCCCTCCTTCCCTCTCCCACTCTCGCTCTTTCTCTCCCTCCCTCCCTCCCACTTTCCCTGAAAAGCAATGGAAAAAACATCCTCAGGTGAGGATTAACAAAACAAAAAAAAGTATTTTAAAAAAAGAAACTTGGTTGTTCTCTCTTGAATCATTCATTGAGGAAACGAAGCTCTTAAGCTGTGAGCAAACCTATGGAGAGACCCACATGGGAAGGTTTCTTGCCAACAGCCACATGGATGAGCGAATGAGCTGGAAGCAGATCCTCTAGCCTCAGTCAAGCTTTCAGAAGACTGCAGCCCCAGCTGAAGCAACCTTAGGATAGCTTAATCAAGAACCAACCAGTTAAGTTGCTCCTGGAGTCCTCACCCTCAGAAACTATGTGTGACAATAAATGTTTATTATTTTAAGTTGCTAAGTTTTAGAGTCATTTGTTAACAACAATAGGTAATTGCACCACTTCACATAAAATAGAACTATCTCACAAAAAATAATTCCATTTACTCCCTGTCTTTTTTGCTATAGCTGTCAATATCATTTTTTGTTTAAAGAAGCCATATGTAGTTTTTAAAAGTTGGAAGTGAGAGGATATAGCCCTTGGTATTTACCCACCTAATTACCATGTCTGTGCTCCTCATTCTTTTTTTAAAGAATAGTTTATTGATTTTTTTAGAGAGAGAAGGAGGAGGGAGAAAGAGGGAAAAACAGAGTCCCCTACCAGGAATTGTGTGAGAGTGCAACATAGATCAGCCGCCTCCTGCACGGGCATGTGCCCTTGATCAGGAATCGAACTGGCAACCCCCTGGTGCACAGGACGACGCCCATCCAATTGAGCCACACCAGCCAGGACTCTTCATTCATTCTTGAATATCCGAGTTTCTATCTGGTGTTATTCCTTTCAGCCTTAAGAACTGGCATTTCTCATGAAGCCAGTTTCCTGATGAAGAATTCCTTGGCTATCATTTATCTGAAAATGTCTTAATTATGCCTTCATTTTTATGGATATTTTCACTGCATATAAAGTTCTGGGAAGAAAAGGTTCCCCTCCACCAGCACTTTAAAGATGTTGCTCCACTATCACTGGCTTCCATTGTTTCTAATGGAAACCCAGTAACAATTCCTATCATTATGCTGCTATTTGTAATGTGTACTTTATTTCTGGCTGCTTTCAAGACTTTCTCTTTTTCTATGGTTTTTAGCAGTTTGACTATGATGTGCCTATGTGTGGGTTTATTTGTATTTAACATGCTTGGGACTTCTGCAATTTCTGAATCTGTATATTTGTGTTTCACAGATTTGAGATAAATTTCAGCCATCATTTCTTCAAATTTTTTTTCTGGCCCCTTCTCTCTCTCTTTCTCCTCTCTATTGGTATGGTATTTCAATTGCATGTATGATAGACCTTTATACATTGTTCCACAAGTCACTGAGGCTATGTTTTTTAAAAATATATAATTTTATTGATTTCAGAGAGAGAGGGAGAGAGAGAACTATCAATGATGAGAGAGAATCATTGATCAACTGCCTCCTGCACACCCTCAACTGGGCATCAAGCCTGCAACTCAGGCATGTGCCATTTGTGCCCTGACTAGGAATTGAGCTATGACCTTACGGTTCACAGGTCAATGCGCAACCACTGAGTAACACCAGCCTGGCGAGGCTATGTTTTTTCCAATCGTTTTTGTTTTTCAGATAGGCTAATTTGTGTTGATTTATCTTCAAGTTAACTGACACTTTCTTCTGTCATTGCCAATCTCTTAAGCTTATCCAATGATTTTTAAAGTTCGGATACCCTATTTTTTGTTCCAGATTTTTTTGTGTATAGTCTCTACCTCTCTGCTGAGACATCTTATCTTTTAATTCTTTACAAGCATATTTTCCCCTCTGCCCTGAGCACAGAAATAAGCTGCTCTAAAGTCCCTGTCTGCTAATTTCAACATCTGAGTCATCTTGGGATTGGTTTCCATCAATTACTTTTCCTCTTGAGTATAAGTCACATTTTTCTGTTTTTCCCCCCATATGTTTAGTTTATGATTGAATACAAGACTTCGTAAATGGGTATGTTATACAGATTCTGAATTGTTTCATTCCACTAGAGTATTGATTTTTCATTTTAGCAGGCAGTTGATTTATCTAAAACCAAATTCCAAATTCTATTTCCTCTGCATTGGGTAGTAGCTGCATTTTCCATTCAGTTATTTTAGCCCTCCCTAGAGTGCTTGGAATCTATCCTATGCATGTGGAACTTGAGTCAGCCAGAGATGTGGGCAGATTTATGTAAAGAATTAGGACTCCTCCTCTGTGGTTCTCTTCTTTCTGGGATATTCTTCTCACCTCTCAGTTGCTATAGTCACCCAAACTCAGTTCTCTTATTGCACAACCAATAAGACTGTAAGTTTCTATCCAAATTTTACCTACTCCCATCACAGCATCTGCAGCCTGCCCATGGGTGAAAAGCTATAAAAAAAACACACAGAAAAACCACTCTTCAAATTGACCACTCTTCTTTTCTCTGTGCTATATTTGAAACAGCCCTAGAACTTGGAATATTAAGGCCTGAATTAAAATCCTAGCCTCGCCACTTTTTAGCTATGTTGACTTTGCATATGTCAGTTCTCAGACATTTCCTCATACTAAAACGTGGTTAAAATGTCTGCTTCATGGGATTAAGATCAAATGAGATAATACATGAGATAAGGAAACTGAGGCTCAGAGGGGCTACATGATGTCCTATCAAGTAACAGGAGTAACTGGTTACCCTAGCTCTGTCTGTGCTTTTTCTGCTAAAACCATTATTACTTTCATCTTTCTAAAGACCACCCTTCACCTTTCCCTCCCAAAGACACCTTCAAGTATTTATATGATCTAATTATCAATTTGGGCACCAAGAATACAGTAAGTCAAAATCCCTGCCCTCAAGAAGTTCCAAGTACCATTCTTATCTTCTAAGTGTTGACTGACCTCCAGTCTATGTCTGCTTTTGGTCACTCTCCAGTGCCTTTAGGTAGTTATTTAGTTATAGCTTTTCCAGTCTGTAATTGTTAACTGTAGGAGGTGCTAACCTAATACAACCTATTCTGCTAATACCAGAAGCAGAGCTGCTATCCGTGGATTTTTGGTTTTACTATCTAGTTGCTCAGTCTGTTTTTATGCCATAATATTTGGAGAGGTTCAAAACCTACACTTCTCCACTGCCCCAATCCTCCCAGAATCATCGGCTATTTATTTTACTAGTAAGTGAAATAAAATACTAAGTTTTCATGTTACTCAGAATCTTTATCCAGATTACTTCTGCTCCTAAAGGACAGTGATATTTGGTCAGAATTTCATTGCTGGGGAAATAAGGAACCATACTGTAACTACTTTCCTCCCAGCCCTTCATACCTGATGTTGTCCTGGCTACTCCCTGATCTGGTAAAGCTCCCAACTTCCGATGCTGATCATACCAGTCATTCACTGTCATGGTTGCCAGACTTGGATAACCAGCTCCAAATACTCTGCAAAAACCACATTGTATTTAGAACACTAAACATAAATAGCACTATTAAAAAGTCTCTTCTCTTTAGTGGCAAAGCCTACGTCTGTTTTATCCTCCCTCCCCTAAGCAGGCATCTTCTGAGGAGTTGTGCAAACTCCTGTGAGGAGCCGAAACCGGTTTGGCTCAGTGGATAGAGCGTCGGCCTGCGGACTGAAAGGTCCCAGGTTCGATTCCGGTCAAGGGCATGTACCTGGGTTGCGGGCACATCCCCAGTAGGAGATGTGCAGGAGGCAGCTTGTCAATGTTTCTCTCCCATCGATGTTTCTAACTCTCTATCTTTCTCCCTTCCTCTGTAAAAAATCAATAAAATATATTTAAAAAAAAACAAAAACAAACAAACAAACAAAAACTCCTGTGAGGATATGTAAAAAGAGGCATCCAGGAAGGGGCATTAAAGTATTTTTCATGAGATGATAAATAGCCCAGGATAATCTCCCAATAAGCAATTACAGAGGCCAATGCCCCACAGAGCAGCAATGATACTGTGAAAAGGGTACTTATAGTTGGTGAGTCTAAAAGATACGCAGAGGAAGGAGACTCTCCTGCTCCCCCCCTCCACTCCCGCCGGAAAAGCACCTCAAGAACTCAGATAAGCAAACATGTCGTTTTGAGAACTATAGCTGAAGGCAATGGGAAAAAATTTTAAAGTGTACAATTCTCCATTTGATTCCTTCCTTGTTTTTAATTAATTAACAGATCATTTTTATTGGTTTCTTTTTGAGATCTTTTTAAGCTTAGGTTTGTGAGGGAAAAGTCTGCTGAAGGCCGAAGACAGAAATTATTAGAAGAGATAATATCCCTTTGATGAAAGAACAGCCTCCAAGGCAAAGTCATGCCTTCTTAATAATGCCCATTCTGCTTGGCACCATGCACTGCAAATGAACCACAAAAGCAAGGGGCTTGCAAAGGCACCCTACTTTTTAGTACTACCTACTTGGCTTGGGCCGCATCCCGAGTGAGAATAAAGGGTTTCATTGGAGGCCTGGACGGACGAGATGAATGAGAAGTTGATGCCTAAAAAGGAAATTAACTATCAGAAGTGTATTTGTCTTTGCCCATCCCACTGTGCAGCCTCTTAGGTCTTCAGGTGCTCGAAAAGCACTGGATTCAAAATTCAGTTACTCCCTCCATATCTGTCTCTGAGACATAGCAGCAGATATTAATGATGGAGGTTGCTTAGCTCTCTTGAGGACACCCAAGTACCTTGCTGAAGAGAGAGAAAGAGAAAGCTCACTCAGAAATCATCTCACCACAAGTAAAAAATTATTTGGCTTTAAAATTACCCCCCTCCAAAGGAGATGCCAAAGGCTTCTTCCATGATCCATCTTAATCCCTTGAGATAAATTTTAAGTCCCTTTCCTTAGCCTGGCCTTTAGTGCTAAAGTTCAATTATGACCCTGTAATTATGCTATTAACTGTCAAGAACCCCTTAGGGTACTTTAGAAGTGGATGTCCCTAAATGCAAGGGGGAGAATGGGTTAGCAGTTTTCATATATAGGTGTATAGAAATGTTTCAAGGAACCCTGGCTATCCAGGCGCACAAAGAATCAAAATCAGGTCAATGAAAAGGTGTTCACTTGGCTCAAGCTCCATCACTCCCAGAGACAATCTCAATACCAAATGAGAGAGCATGAGAAAAGAAAAAACAGCCCTAACCGGGTTGGTTCGATGGATAGAGCGTTGGACTGTGGACTGAAGGGTCCCACGTTTGATTTTGGTCAAGGGCATGCACCTTGGTTGTGGGCACATCCCCAGTAGGAGGCAGCTGATCAATGTTTCTCTCTCATCGATGTTTCTAACTCTCTATCCTTCTCCCTTCCTCTTTGTTAAAAATCAATAAATAGCCCTGCCTGGTTTGGCTCAGTGGATAAAGCGTCGGCCTGCAGGCTCAAGGGTCCTGGGTTTGATTCCAGTCAAGGGCACAGGCCTGAGTTGTGGGCTCAGTCCCCAGTAGGGGGCGTGCAGGAGGCAGCTGATCAATGATTTCCTTTCCCTTCCTGAAATCAATAAAAATATATTTTAAAAAAGCAATAAATTTGAAAAAGAAAAAGAAAAAAACAGCAGCAAAGAAAGGGTCAGGGGAGGACACAGAAGAGTCCAGCCTAATACTGTTTAAAACCACTCTAGATATGCTCAAGGAGCCTCAAGATTGTTCATTCTTTAATCCTTTAACATGAGGAACTAGGTTGATGTTACCCTGAGGCAAAAGCTCCTGGGCTAATTAGTACAAATCAAAACCTCAGGAGGTTTCCCTGAGGACTTAAATAAATGCCTGTGACCAGCTGATAAATTCAACTCAATTCCTCTTATATCAGAACCAAAAAGTAAGTAGCAGCAGAGCCTAATCTTTTGAAGCAGCTGCTCCAAAACAGGGTCATGATGTTCAAAGACAGCCAAAGCTGTAGGGCACCAGGTGTTCTTCACCAGTATGCCCAACGTTTTGCTGTGTCTCATACTGGGGGATCTAAAGGTGTGAGTGTGCATCACTATGTATGGTTAAACTGGGATTCATCTACTCATCTCTCTCTCTCCAGTTCCACTTTTCTTCCCTATTCCTCTTTCCATTTATTATAGTCAAGCAGATTTTAAAAGCCTATCTCCCTATGCCTCCTTCAGCAGTTATGACTTCCCATAGCCAAAACCAACTTTTACTTCAGGGAAATCTCCCTCCCCCGATGCATGTCACAAAATTACAAATGACTAAAAGTGTGATACAGGTTAGTAGGCACTGGGGAACACAACTGTAAACCAGAGAGAAAGCTACCCTAGTGAACCTTCAGCCTTCTTCCATTGAACTTAATAAGAACAATGATTTTATGAAGACTCAAAAGCATTTAAATCTGATTATTGTCCTATAGAACATTCAAATCTCTGATAGCAGTTTTTTGAATTATATAGCAGTGAACAGACTTACCTCTTTTGAAGAGTCTTTTCTTCTCAGGATATCCATCTCCTGGTCAATGCTCTCAATCTCTTCTAAGCAGATACCAATCCACCTTCGAAGGTGAAGGAGGTAATACTCACGAACATGCTCATCATCTGCTTCACCACTTTCGACAGCAGATTTCATTTCAGACAACCTACGCTCCATCTCCTTCTTCTGCTTGTATCTGTTCCACAGGAAAGCATTACCCGTGAACTTAAAAATAAAGAGGTATTCCTTCAAAAGAAGGCCACAGTAAGATTTTATCTTTACAAGTGACCAGAAAGTCAGCACGCCAATTTCCACTTTGGCAATAGTATAGATTGTACTTCAGAACTTGCCACCAAGGCAGTTCTCTCAAGACTACAAGGCAAGGAAGGGATCAGCAGCAGCTGAGAAATACATCTGAAGCCAGAAAAGTATAGACATAACCTGATTTGAGCAACTCCTCATCCTCTTTAGAGATGGAGTGCCTTAGTCATTTTATATCAACCTTTACTAGGTTGGGTGTTTAGTGCCACATAATGTCCATTTGGGAATTAGAACTTCAAAGAATCATAGAATCTTAGGGGTCATTTACCTGCCACTGATGTAGGAATTCCTTATGAAACACCCTAAAAAATGATCTTTTCTTTTCTGCTGAGCAAAATATTCCTAGCTCTTCTGATGCATCTTAATATATTAAGTCTCATAACCACCTTGCCTACCTGAGGAACAGGATACATTCTAGTATCTCATCTATCATTCATTTAACAAATATTTACTGAGTACCTATTATATGACAGGCACTGTTCTCAGTGCTGGAGATACAGCTGTGTATACAAGTCCTTACTCTTCTGAAGCTTTCGTTCTAGTGGGAGAAGACAAAAAGAAACAGATGAGGAGTCAGGTGGTGATAAGTGCTATGAAGAAGCAAACACCAAGGTAGAATGGATAGGCCGATGGTGTGAAGACAGTGGTGCTATTATATACAAGATGATCAGGAAAGACCTCTCTGAAGAAGTGACATTTGAGCAAAGATTTCAAAGAAATTGGTAAGTAAGCCATGTCAATATCTGGAAGGGTACTCTTTTTTTTTTTTTTTTTTACAGGAGAAAATTAAGTTTTAATAGATGTGCATGGGGAACTCACATTAAGTGTGTAAATTTCAAAGACAGTGAGGCAACATTGGGTATATAACATTTTTGGACAAAGAAGAAAGGAGTGGGGATGGGGTATTAGATTTCAGAAGTGAGAATGGGCGATTTACTGGTAGTTGAGGAAGAGTAGAACATGCATGGCATGGCAAGGAAGTCCTTGCTAGGTGACTCAGAGACAATGGGACACAGAGGACATCTCGCTAACAGGTGCCTGCCAGAAGCCCTCTCATTTACCAGACTTAATTCAAATAGGGTTAAAGCTGCATCCTAGGATCTCTGTCTGAATCTCTTGGGCAGGAAAGGGCATGGGGGTTAAAGGTTCCAAGTCTTGTTTCTTAATAAACAGCTTAAAAATCAATATCCCAAAAAGGCAGCTTCAGGGAGGCAAAACTTGGGTTCATTCTGAGTATTTGTTCTAAGGGGGAAAAGTAAATCAGAAGGTCCTGGGTTGAAGAGTGACTGGCCTGACATGTTTGAGAAACAGCAAGGAGGCCAGTGCACTAGTATAAAGTGAAGAATGACAGAAAATGAGGTCAGATATACAGCCAGGGCCATAATTTGTAGAACCCTGTAGGAAATAAGACCCAACAAATCAAATTCCATGATATTTTGAGTGAGATGCAAAAGCCACTGGAGGCTTTTGGATAGAATACATGACAGGAATAGGGTGACATGAAAACTCTTTTATATGGACCACTCCTGCTGTGTGTGGACTCTAGACTAGCGGTCGCCAACCTTTCGGAACTCACAACCAGTGGTCCGCGGACCACCGGTTGGCAACCGTTGCTCTAGACCAGTGGCTCTCAACCTTCCTAATGCTGCAATTCTTTAATACAGTTCCCCATGTTGTGGTGACCCCCAATTTCATTGTTACAAATTTAACATAATTAAAGCATAGTGATTAATCACAAAAACAATATGTAATTATATGTGTTTTCCGATGGTCTTAGGCAACCCCTGTGAAAGGGTCGTTCGACCCCCAAAGGGGTCGCGACCCACAGGTTGAGAACAGCTGCTCTAGACCATGGGAGCAGGAACAAAGAGTGGAAGCAGGGAAATCAAGTAAGAGGCCATTGCCAAAATCCAGGTGAAAGACAGTGATTTGCAATAGGGAGGCGGTGAGATATGGATATATTTAAAATATAAAACAGGACTTGCTAATTTTTGAACATTAGGGCTTGAGAGAAACAGAGGAGTCAAGAAAAAATTCCATGGCTTCCAAAAGAAGTATCCTGAAATATCCAAGTCTGAAACCCCACTCTAGCACTCCAGAATCAGATGCTCCTCTGGAGGTGTTCACCCAAATCTGCAGTTCTTAACCTGAGGTCCAGAGGGTTTTTTTTTGGGGGGGGGGGGGCAGTTGTCCTTGAACACCCTAAAATTTTATACAGAATTCTACAGATATGTACTTTTCTTATAATGGTAAGCCATTACATGAAAACACTCCCTTATCACCCTAGGAACCCCAATGCCTATTACCCTTTGGCCTCTGGACAACTTTCACTGTTCCCTTTTCCAGTTCCCAAGCTGCTGAAGAGAGCTAATGAATTACAAATTTGTGACCACTTTGAGTGGTCACTTTTGCTCAACTATCCTTTTGTTCATCTTTTGTGGATCCCATGCCACTATCACACCAGGTGGCCTTCAATTCAACTTCCCCTTTTACCTTAAAATCTGTTGCCCAGCTGGCGTGGCTCAGTGGTTGAGGATTGACCCCATGAACCAGGAGATCATGTTTCGATTCCAGGTCAGGACACATGCCTGGGTTGCAGGCTCGATCCCCAGTGGGGGCTGTGTCGGAGGCAGCCAATCAATGATTCTCTCTCATCATTGATGTTTCTAGCTCTATCTCTCTATCCCTCCCCCTTCCTCTCTGAAATCAATATAAACATAGTTTAAAAAAAATCTCTGTAGCTTCACCTTTCCTCTTGTCCATAAGGGGCTAATGCTATCTTTAGGAGCCAAGGCCATCTCTTTACCATTCCACTCTTGCTACGAATCCCACCCACATTCTTCCAGGCCTCAGTCTATCAATTGCCCTGTCAGTAGCAGTAACAATTTTTTCACTCTGCTGATGCCTTTACCCTTTCCTAGACACAACTTCCAAAACATATTCTATCTCTTTGTTCTATGCTATAGTGGAAATAGTACCAGAACTGGGAATTTGAAAACCTAAGTTTAAATCCTAGCCTGCACTTACTAGCTATGTAACTTGGATATGTCAATTCTCAGAGCCAAATTCCTTAAGCCACGCCCACCAGCCCATCAGAGCAACTATATGCAAATTAACCTTCAATCAAGATGGCGGCGGGCAGCCACGGAGCTGGAGCAAGCAGGAGGCTTGGGTTGCCCCTGGTGTAAGAGGAAGCCACGCTTCCCGCCCCGCCCTGGCTGGCTCTGAGCTCCACTCAAGGCTACAAAGTATCAATTATAGAAGATAAATAAATCCCAGATATCTGCTTCCAGCCCGTGGGTGTGGCCAGCCTGAAAATGGCCATCAGCCCCTCACCCAGGCTGGCTTAATGCAGAAGCTTCCCTCTGGGGGTCAGTGTGCTCCCTCAGGGGGAGCTCTGCTCAGCCACAAGCCAGGCTGATGGCTGCCAGCACATTGGCGGTGGTGGGAACCTCTCCCGCCTCCTTAGCAGCACTAAGGATGTCCAACTGCAGCTTAGGTCTGCTCCCTGCTGGTAAGTAGACATCCCCCAAGGGCTGCCGGGCTGCAGAGGGATGTCTGACTGCCAGTTTGGGGCCGATCCCCCAGGGAGCAGGCCTAAGCCAGCAGATGGACATCCTCCGAGGAGTCCCAGACTGCAAGAGGGCATAGGCCAGGCTGAGGGACCACCCCGAGTGCACAAATTTTTGTGCACCCGGCCTCTAGTCTATAATAATAAAAGCATAATATGCAAATCAACCAAATGGCTGAAGAGTGGAACAATCATCTGGATGAACTTCTGGACACAGCCGGTGTTGCGAGGGCCTATTCTGGAACGAATTTCATGCATTGGGCCTCTAATGTGCTAATAAAAGAGAAAGATGCAAATTGACCATACCTTCATGATGCCCACCAATCAGGAGTGAGTATGCAAATTAACCCAACAACGATGACGGGTTAATTTGCATACACAGCCACCGAGCAGCTGGGGTTGGGGCAGGACATTTGTGTTGTTGCCATGGCAATGATGCAGGCATTCCGCACCCCGCCACCCCCAGCCACTCTGGGCCTCTGGGCAGCGTGTGAAGGCGAAAAGGCAGCTCCAGGCTGGAGCGAAGGCGGTGCCAGCAGCCAGGGGAAGCAAGGCCCATTCCTGCATGAATCTTCGTGCATTAGGCCTCTAGTGGGGATAATATTTGCTTTGTGCAGTCGTTAACAGGATCAAATGGAACAACATACATAAAAGTGCTTTGTAAGCAGCAATGTAATACAAATATTGTTAGCTGATAAAAAATTGAATCTAGGAAGGGCTAGATGATGCCCCACCAATTAAGTGGTAGAAATTGGTCACCCCAGGTTTGTCTGACTAAAAAGCCCAGGCTTTTTCTGCTATACCACATTGCTTCCATCTTCCTAAAGACCACTCTCTCTTTCCCAAAGACAACTCAACTACCTACTATAATCCAATTACTGGGCACCAAGAATACAGTGATACAATTGGGATACTAAAGATACAATTAGTCAGCTTCTGACATTTAGGAATTTCAAGTCTAGAGAATAATATAGTTATTATAAGAAGCATAAATTAAGTGTTACAATATGGGGGAGGAGGGTAGTGATAGGTAGGGAGAAGCTTCAAGAGGACGTGACTTTTGCTCTCTCTTGCCCAGGCTTCTACAAGTAATTCTATCTGTACCTTGTTGAGTCTCTTACCTACTTCTGGTTGCTCTTTCATTTCTCTTCCTTCTCCCTTAACTTGTCCTCAAGGTTTTATCCTTGGCTTTTTTCCCCCTCTACATGTTATTCCTTGGCAAACTATACAAATCCACCAAAGCGCCTAAATTTTTAGCACTAGTAACAAAATTGCCTCACATGTTTTAGTTACACATTTCCATCTGTCTATGGAGATGGTTATCCAGTTGTCATTTTTGGAACTAAATTCAGTAAACCTAAAATTAGATTTATTGCTTACCTAGCTTCTACTCTTCTGTTTCTATCAAAAGAATGGAGGTGCAGTCAATCAGACTTACACTTACTCCTCAAAGATGGGAATTAGAGTAGGAGAGAATATGTGAAGAAACAGGTTTTGAGAGAGAGAGAGGTGTTTTATGTAGCATGGCCTCAGTATGTAAAGTTGTGGGGTGGGGGAAGGAAGACCTACAAAAGGTAACTAAGGATCTGAACAATAACTTTTCTATTGCAAAAGTAATGTCTCTGATAGTTGTAACTTCATTTTTATTACCTCTTCCAAGTTGAAGTACTACTACAGCATGTTAACTTTTCTTTCTGCCTCTCTCTTCCCTTTCAATATTCTATACACATCATTTCATTATTCAGACCTCTGAGCTTCTGCCAAATCAGACTACTCTCCATTCCATGTACATACCTCAAACTGCCTTGGGCTTTTGCTCGTGTTGTTCCTCCTACTTGTTAACAATAAATATTTCTTGAGCACCTTCTATATGCCAGAACCTGTGGTCAACATACTGCAGTGAACAAAAGAGAAATAGCTCCTTGACCTTCTGGAGCATACATTCTAGCAGGGGAGACAGATGAATGAAGAGCATTCCATGCAAAGACAACTCTTTAGAACTGCAGTTCTCAACCTGTGGGTTGCGACCCCTTTGGGGGTCTAACGACCCTTTCACAGGGGTCGCCTAAGACCATCGGAAACACATATATAATTACATATTGTTTTTGTGATTAATCACTATGCTTTAATTATATTAAATTTGTAACAATGAAATTGGGGGTCACCACAACATGAGGAACTGTATTAAAGGGTCGCAGCATTAGGAAGGTTGAGAACCACTGCTTTAGAAGGAAGGAGCTGGGTCTGTTCAAAGAACGAAAAGGCTACTGAGCAAAGGGAGTGTGATACACAATGAAATTGGAGAGAGGCAGGCACCAGATCATGCAGGGCCTTGCAGTTAGTAGTTTCTCTATTTCAGGTGAGATACTGGTGGTCTAGATTAAGGTATGAGATAATGGAGATGGAGAGAAGCAGAAGGACCTAAGATACATTTTGTAGCTAGAATTGGCAGGCCTTGAAGAATGAATGGATGTGGAGATTCAGAAGGAAAGACATGAGGCTAACTTCTAGGTTTCTGGCTTAAACACCTGGTAAAAGGTGATAAACCTATTAAGATGGTGAAGTCTTGGGTGTGGGGGGATATTTGCAGGTTAAAAAGCCAAGGGTTCAATTAAGGGCATGTTAAGTTTGAGATGTCTGTGAAACATCCATGTAAGGCAGAGATTTTCAACCAATGGGCTACAGTAATTTTTAAAACATGCAATACCTGATGATTTAGTCAGGAGCACTGACCTCTTTTCTCTTAGATTGTCAAATAAAAAAATGAGACAACAGCCAACACAACAATAGCCACCTGATATGAACAAATCAAAATTAGACCTATTTTTTTTGTCAGATCGGCAAAAAGTATATTTTTTGATGTGCCGCAGACTTTTACTAATTATTTTACGTATGCCATGAGATGAAAAAGGTTGAAAATCACTGATGTAGGGTGTTGGAAGTATGAGTCTGAAAGTAAGAAAATGCTGATATCTCATGTATCAGGCATGTAAAGAAAACGTTCAAAGATCAAGCTTTCTAGCCAAAGAAATGCAAATCAAAACAATGAAATACTTTTGTTCACCCTACTGGATTTTCCAAGTATTACCATCCAAGATCAGTGCAGTGGGACACATTCTGCAATTTGTTATTGTGGAAAGCAACACACTGTTATCATCAAGTCTTCAAATATCCCCGCATGACCTATGAACCAGGAGGTCGTGGTTCAATTCCTGGTCAGGGCACATACCCAAGTTTCAGGCTTGATCCCCAGTGTGGGGCATGCAGGAGGCATTTGATCAATGATTCTCTCTCATCATTGATGTATCCATCTCCCTCTCCCTCTCCCTCCCTCTCTGAAATCAATAAAAAATATTTTTAAAAAATTCTTAAAAGTATATAAAACCTTTGATCTAGTCACTTGTCCTTCTAGAAATCTATCCTAAGGAAACAGTGACATATGCAGTTAAAGATGTTTGTTTAAGCAAAAAAAAAAAAAGAGAAAGAACTCAGACATGGACAACAGTGTGGTGGTGGCAGGAGAGGGGGGTGTGGAAGTGAGGGGGTATAGAGTGGGGGGTGGAGGTGAAAGAGGGCATAGAGGAGATAAATGGTGATGGAAAAATTAAAGTAAAATTTAAAAATATATATGTTTGGCCAGGCCAGTATGGCTCAGTGCTTGAGTGTTGACCCATGTACCAAGAGGTTGCTGATTTGATTCTGGGCTTAATTCCCAGTAGGGGGCATGCAAGAAGCAGCTGATCAATGTTTTTCTCTCATCACTCCCTCTCCCTCTTTCTCTAAAATCAATAAAAACATATAAAAGAAAATAATAAAAACAGATGTTTGTTCTTAACTTTATTTATTTATTTATTTATTTTAAAATATATTTTTATTGATTTTTTACAGAGAGGAAGGGAGAGAGAGTTAGAAACATCTATGAGACAGAAACATCGGTCAGCTGCCTCCTGCACACCCCCTGCTGGAGACGTGCCCGCAACCCAGGCGCATGCCCTTGACCGGAATCAAACCTGGGACCCCTCAGTCCGCAGGCCGACGCTCTATCCACTAAGCCAAACCGGTTTCGGCATTAACATTATTTAGAATAGCAAAAATAAAAGCCCAAACCATAAATAGTCTAAGTATTTGACAATAAAAGATTAGTTTAAATACTTATGGTGTATCTATGGGCTGAAATGTTATGTAGCCATTAAATACCATGGTTTCAAAAGACACAGGGAAATGCTCACAATATAATGTTAGGTTAAAAAAGATGAAAAACTATATATACAGTATTATTCCAAATTTATTAACTAAAATAACTACATCATATCTAAAGGGAAACATTCAGAAAGTTAACAAAGATCATATCTGAGTGCTAAGATTAAGGATTACTTTAATTCAAAAAATATTCTCTATTTTTCCAACTTTCTATTATGGGTATTACTTTTACATTCAGGAAAATCTGTAATCTCTATTTTTAACCATCCTTCAAGGCTTATCGCAAATGCTGTTACCTTCTGAAACCTTCCCTATCCCTCCAACCAGATCTGAGCACTGTTCTTTCTCCACAACACTGTGTGGATGAAAAGGGGCCACATACTAACCTTAACTCAGGGAAGGCCTGCATGGCAGTCTTGCAAACTAAGAGACCTAAAGTAACCACAAAGGATGGTCTGAAATGAAACCTCTTAATTAAAAAGCAGCTTATAGTGGGTAGTCATGTCCTAGGCCAGTATCTTCCCTGACAAAGATCAACTTTTTACTGAGCCTCTTGTCTTTTTGCATTAAGATAACATACCTGTAGAATGTCAGGGTAACTAACTTGTAACTTCCCTTTGTCTAGACCCCTCAGGGTATGATAAATGGCACTAGGTGAAGACCACAAATTTCCCTCATTGTTGTTATGTTAATCATTGAGGTTATTCCTTCACCTTACTCACTCCCCAAGCTCCCCTAGGTCTGAAAGCTACAACATTCTTGATCATCATTCTTTCCCCGCTGTCCACAACCCTCTTTGCACTCTAACATCACCTAACTGTTTATAGTTACTCCCACCCACACATCTCCACCCCAGCACAGCTCTTTAATGCCCTTATATCTTAGCAATGCTATCTGTGCTGCCTAATGCCCTCCTTTCATCTTCAAGGTAATATTCCTATTCATCCTTAACCCCTTCCCCAACAATTTTTTTGTTAAAAACGTTTCTTTTTCAGACTAATTTTTTTATTTTAGTTCTATATAGTATTTTTGATGCTGGTTATGAAAACAGTTTGTAACTCGTCTTCCTATAAACCATATTTTTTTACCATATTTTCTTAGTATACTCGTCGACGACTGAAAAAGAACATTTTGTGAAAACGAGTATACACGTTTCTGCCGGGGAAGGGGTTAAACAACTCATCATAAGTTACCTCTTCCAGGGAATCTTCTCCTCTTTCCTGCTCCCTCTTTGGATAGGTGCCTCTCTAGCCTGTTCTCACAGTACCTTGTACATCTTTCTATCACATCATTTTATATTGATACTGTTTCTATGCCTTTTCCCCTCACCAGACTGTATGCTCCTCCAAGGCAGACACCACTCATACTCACAGAAACAGGCATACTCAGTTTGTATCCCCAGTGACTAGCATAGTTCCTAGACACTGTGAGCACTCTTTAAATACATTTTTAAAAAAACTAAACTGAGAGCAAGTAACCTGTTCAAGGTTACATGAAGGTATGCCAGGACTAAGATTAGTTTGGGATGTTACACACCTGATCCAATACTGTTAGAACAGAGATTCTCAATCAATGGATTGTAAATGGACTACAACTACAAGATATTGTGCCCTTCAGAGATATTTGCCCCACAGTACTATACAAATATTACCATGTTGTGATGTGGGAGAGATTGGGAGACATTCCACTAAACTACATTGCTGCTGTTGGCAACCATAAGGAGTCTGATGGTTAGGAATGATCATCTCAACAAAGGTAGAGGGTTCTTGAAAAACTCAGTAGAGTTTGCTAGCACCAGGGCCTATGCTCAATAAAAATGAAAAGAGTGACATATATCATTG